GCAAAACCTTTCCCATTATCTACAGGCAATATAACTCTGCCCGATACACACCAATCCTATGGTGCCAACCTTGATAACTCTAGATTACCGACGTCTCAGTAAAATTAAATAAGACAATGCAATTGTTTTTTTCTTATTTCAAATGTAAATTATGTTGTTCCATTTTTAAAGTGTTTCACTTACCTCCTCAATTCAAGAACAAATGCACTTATTTTAAGAAAAAAATACTCATTAAAATTTCAATTTTTTTGCAGTTTGCAAAACGTTTTTTTTCACTGGCTTAGACAATGTTTGGATTTAAGAAAGAGAAACGCTTTAATTCAGGTTGGGATTATTTAAATCTATAGCTCAGTTTTATGTATTTAGTTAATTTATAGCATTGGGGTAATTTGTTGAGATGCACCTTTTTGGGGAAGTAGATGGCAGGGTGGTTTGACGGCAGCTGCAGTAGCTCTCTGTCGCTACCACTCAGTCCAACTAAAGTAACAAAGTAATTTTCTCATATCTAAAGTTACTCCTGATCGAAAACAAGAAACACAAAAATACTTGCATGCCATAATAATAATAATTGGTCTCAGAAAATTGACTTTTCAAATAGCAAACTTATTTCTTTAATGTTTTAACAGAAACTGTTATCAGCTGTGAGCAGATGGACCCAAATGCCTCAGGTGTGTTTAAGTATCTCACCTCCTTCCAGATGTTGTAATGAGAGAGGAAACAACCCAGTTCCCCCTTGGTGAGAGGCCGTCCGTGATAAGGGTCTTTGTATCCAGGGAGCATCTTAATCCCCATAGAATCTATATCAGACGTATTCAGAGCTCTGGCAGAAACAGATCGGATTAAGCACCAACAGATTAGAAATTGAATCTATAAATTACAAGGATGCGCTGTTGTCCCTATATAAAAAAAAAAAAAAAGAAGAAAAGATTTTTGTATACCAGACTAGATTTATAAATAAGGTGGCTGTTTGTGGGCTTTGCATTGATGATCTGAGCATTTGTTTGAACCCAAAGCTGCTGTGTATTACGGTTGGTTTTTGTTTGTATTTTAGAGGCAGACAGCGGGACGGTCGTAGAGGTTAAGCTCTAATGACGCATTTGGCAGTCGGCTCACCCTAATTTTACCCATCTTGGACCTGATTATCTGAAGCCAATCTAGATCATAAAGTTCACCCTACAGGGAGGTAGTGCAAGAAAAAGACTCTGACAGGGGCAACATTAACTGGATCCTGGACTGGAAGAGCATAAATCTGGACTAATCACACTAAATGACCTTTTTCTATTGCTTTAAAGTGCAATCAATATGCTGTCTCTGCCAAACCTCATATTCTGTTCTCTGCAGACTAAGCAGCTCTAAAGCTTCATTATGTGGAAACCTCTGCATTTTTTTTTTTACATTTTAGTATAAGGTAATACAGTGGCTATTAGTAGGTATTTAGGTAAAGCTGTTGCAGGAGTTTCACAGTAAATGCTTTCACATTATTCAGCCTTAAACAGGGTTTCTGTTTATAGTGTAAAAACTTCAGAATATTCAATTACATCCCTTAGGTTGTCTTAAAAATATAAAACCCTAAAGTTCACCATGAATTTATGGAAGATATTTCCACAGTCTGCAGACTTGTTATAAAACACTGAGGAGAAAAAAGAACAGTCTTAAAGGAAGGAAGGAAAGGTAAGCATGAGGAATGAATGAGAAAGACATGAGGAAGGAAGGAAGGAATTAGAGAACCGATCCTGTTTTTTTCTGATCCAATGTGATACCTATTCCTGTGTTCATCCTATCGAGTGATGCTGATACCGTTACCATGGTTGGCTGAATGAACCCTGTACTTTGCCGTGAGAGTGAAGGCATCAGGGCTGAGATAAACATTGTTAAAAAAACGGGAAAAAAAGAAAAAAGAATTGATATTAAATATGATCAAATGAAGTATACATTAGCAACAACAAATAATACTTGATTAAAAGCTGACTGCAAATTGCAAATATTTCAAAATGTAATGTAAACTATAGCAGCCTGCTGGAACTAGATTGGTGGAAACGTGTTTCTGTGTATGATACTAAACATTAAATCTTTGTCATTCATGTAATGTCAGAAACAGCTAACTTTAAAAAAAATGATAAAACTGTAAATTTACAGTAATTTTTAGTATTTTTCAAGGCTGCACATTAAAAAAAAGATGAAATTGTCCAAAGAGCTGTTCCAAACGAAATTTATTTTTGTTTTACACTTTTGCAAACAAAATGACAAATAAAAGGTCTCTCAGTCTAGTGAATATAAGAGCTATTATCCAATCCAGGTATCAAATCAGTGCATTTCTGGGAGAATTGTCTTAAGGAACAAGAAAAGACTGAAACAGTAAAGTAAAGTAAAGTAAAGTAAAGTAAAGTAAAGTAAGTAAGTAAGTAAGTAAGTAAGTAAGTAAGTAAGTAAGTAAGTAAGTAAGGAAGGAAGGAAGGAAGGAAGGAAATAGTGAAGTGAAGGAAAAAAACAGAAAACCTTTAGCCAAAGGGAAAGTGGCTTATAATAACAGAGGATATAGAGCTATCTTCCATACTGCTATTCTGTTTTTTTATTCATATCCATACTAGAACATCATGGATGTCTACAGCTATGTTCCTGTTATTGAATCTGATTTGAGGGATTTTCCCACAATAACTCTTGACAGCAACATGATGAGGTGTTGCATTAGCTGAACATCCGCAGGTGAACGTCCATTTAAATAAACCATGAGATTATCCCATGGGCTTTCGTAATTTCTATAAAGGCACAGTAATCTTCATGTATGTAGGTTCCTGTCTCTGATGTAAGCCATAAAAAGATGAAAGCAATCTCCAATTAAAAAGCATTTAGAAAACGAAAATAATCTAGGTAATCCTACCTGAAAAAAACAGGAAAAGATAAATATGTAAAAATACCAGACAAGGACAATAAGATCTGAATACACTCTATGCAAATATTTATAGATGTAGTTTCAAATGTATTCCACAAAAAAAAAACATTTAAACCTACTTCAAGCTGAAAATATCTTATTCAAGAATGATCAAGCATAAGAGACTTCTAGTAATAGCAGCTACTTTTCAAAGGCCTGTTCATTTCTGTTTTGATGCTCTACAGGCACCAAGCCCACACGTTGCAAAGGTGTGCAATAAGAAAAGACACAAGCAACAGTAGAGGAAGATAATGAGTAAACTTACTTGCCATCCACAGCAGCAACCACCTTACAGCTGATCTCCTGCTCGTACAAGGTCCTCAGCATTCGCTCCCGACGGTCAGCTCTCCGAACCAGATTTATCATAAAAACCTGCGTGCAAAAAAAGGCACACGCTCACACACATGCTCAGGTTTTTGCGTATTCCTGTCTGTAACAGGTGCAGTGTGAATATACCTCATCAAAGCCCATCTTGTTTGGCTGTTTGGGAGGAAGAGAAAGGAAGCTGGAGGGCTCCAATGGAGGATGATTCACTGTCGAAGGAAAATATTACAGACACACTGAATAATGAGCTCCTACAGCGAAATCGTAGGTTATATAATGCAAGATTCGGAAGAGTAACTTTTTCAGTAAAGAGAATCAAATGCATCAACCTACATGATCACAGATTTGGATTTTTTTGGAGCTTGAATGATGGAGTTAAGCTGCAGTTTTAACACAGACATCAGTATCAGTGAAATGTGTGTTCTTTTGCATACATTACAGACCGACTAACCAACATCTCAGTACACTGAGCTGGTAACCACACCGTATACTGCTGATCTTATGGACCAAACACACCCACACCATGTTAGAAAAACAAGATGTCTGCTTACAGGAAGGGGAGTTTGGTCTAGAAAAAGATTCCAAGGTTTTCACTCTAATCATATGTTTGCTTGAGCAAAAAGGGTAAAGCCAACAACAGTTACTGTACAGTTTAGTTTTTAAGCTCCTAGCGCTGCAACCAATGCCTATTTTTCAATTCGATTAATCTGTCGATTCTGTTTTAGATTAATCGATTAATAATCAAAAGGTTCCTTAAAGGAGAGAACTTAAGCCAACTAACACTGTACCTTTTGAGGTCTTCTGGATAGAACATATTAAAGGACAAAAAGGGGTTTAATTCTAATTACAAATTTATTAGACATATTTTACTGTTTTGGTATAATAACTGGTTTTAGTGGGTTTCTCTTTCAGCAAAACGCATGTTTTAGATTCTCTATACGACAGTTAACAATTAACCGATTACCAAATTAGTTGACAATTATTTCAATAATGGATTAATCACAATTAGTCTGATTGATTGTTTTAGCCCTAAAAGCACCTGATCTACTGGATTTAATCTTTTCTGATGATTTTTTTCCATCTGGCTTAAAGATTTCCACACAGCCACTTAGCAAGCAGTGAAATAGAAGGTCTGGAAGTGGAACTAAAATAAATGTTCCCCGCTACAGTGAGAAATCAATGAATAACCCAAACCAATCACAAAAGATGGTCCGTTGTACACGATTGGTTCCTGACACGTCAATCATGGTTGTCTGCTTGTCCCTTCCCCCTGTGCGCGTACCCAGACACGTGAACGAATCGACCCCCCAATGCTCGTGCAGGAAGCCATGGCTGGAAGCTAGCCACTGTTATGCTGCGTTCACACCTAAAGCAGCAGAGGCAGCAGGAGCAGCTAGTTTACAGGCAAAGTCAATGGTTGACGCGCATCAAGGCGCAGCAAAACGTCCTGCAGTATGTTTTGAGCAGCTGAAGCAGCGCGTTGTTAACTTTTAAGCATCTGACACCTGAGACTCCCTGCAAATGCAGCAGCTGCTGGAGTTGGAAAAATTTTACTTTTGCTGCTCGATGCGCCACATCAGCCAATCAGAGAAGCTGATCTGGGAGCTGGCAGAGAGAGAGACACATCGCTGATGATAAGAGATCACTCTGATCACTCCTCTGAAACAGTTTATTAATGCCTAAATTACCTTAAAAGGCCAAAATGTGCCGGCATTTGCTTTTATTATCCTGGTTCCTGCAGTTTGGATTACGTACTGTACATAAAAACACCTTCAGGCTGCTGTAGCAAACCGGGAAGAGGCGAGGGTCTGAGCGGCTCCGACAGAGAAATAATATTTGAAGGCAGGATGGGAATCTGGATGAACTGACCGCACAGATGAGGTTTTCAGGTGGACTTTCTCACTTAAAAACATATTAAAACTACTTTTTACCCACTGATCACAACAAATATAGCTGCCTTTATTACAGGCAAAGAGATGATAGGGTAGCTCCGCCCATCGCGGATCAGAACCACCACCACTCAGCCAGAGCAGCTTCAGCGGCGCGTCAGAACTAAACTTAATGAAGCAGCACATGCGTTTTTGCTGCCTTGCCCTGCTTGCGGTCTGAACGTAGCATTATGCTGCATTCAGACCTGAACTTATTCCACGTTCCGTTCTCCTCTACTCCTCCATAGCTAGCCCAGCTAGAATCATTCAGCTGTAGCCTCCTCCTGCCCTGGTGCTGTTTCCCTGACAGGTTTTCTATCGACCACTGTGCTCCTCCGCTCTTGAGCTGCTTTGTCTCCCCGCTCCAGTGACCTGTCTGCCCAGCGATCTCTGTGGCTCCAGAGGGCGGCGTGACTAGCCCCCTCATCTCTGTTACGGTGTTTTTTGCCGGTGTTCTCACACTGATTCCCTGCTCCTGCTGTCTGAGCTCAGAATGCTGTATCATCCTCCCTCTGTTCTCAGATAATTCGTCCCCCTGTTTTGGACACTCTGACCAAACCAAACCTGGATCAAGCACAGGGGAAAGATGCTAGTCCACTCAGAACAAAAGTTCAACAACAACGCAACAACTAGTGTTTAAACTCAGTGCTCTTCATAATGCCACGTTTGGGTCACATGAAAAATCAACCGATTTCCAAGCACTGCTGATTGACCGCTGTAAGTCTAAATCACGATGCTGCAATGGATATGCTGAATTACCTTTTGTTCTGTATCTCCATATACTCAGCATCTGTGCTTTGTTTGCCCTGAATGCAAAGCAAGTACCCTTTACTTGACATTCACTAACCTCTTCATGTTTTTACACCATCTCTATTTTAATAAATGCTTTTATTTAAAAAAAAATCCTCAAATCAATCCCTTTAAATGTTAAGATATTAAACATGTCACTGTTTATTTAACTTTTGCCAATGCCTGAGCATTACGATTCCCTCTCTGATCCTCTGTGAAACTAAAGGTTAAATTATCTACCCATAGAAACAGCCAGCTGAGACTGAAGCATTCAATACTCGGTTTAGTTGAGCGGCACAGGTTTGCATATTTAAATAATTCATAGGGTGCACAGAAGGCTGCTGCAGTAGAAGTTTAAGCAGATGCACCAACTTCAGCTAAATGTTTATAATTCTCTGATCCAGCTCTGAACCCATTTTCCCTTCACTAAATCTCATTTTGATGTGAACTTGCTGGCTTCTTTCAGTTTAGCAATACCCTAAAACTAAAGACATGAGATCCAAATAAATAATAAAGGATCTTTCCATCAGTCCGTTTTCTTTGAGTACACTAATCTTATCTTAAAACACTTCTATAGCAACAGGTTCAAAAAGGGATATGACCACATAGGTAGGATTAAATAAATTTATCACGAAACTATTAACCAAATGTCTAATAAAATACGTACATACCTGATAAAATAAATAAATCCTCTATCAAATGTCCAATTAAATCATAGAAGCTAGCTTTTTAATTATTAAATCATTAAACACACAGATTTTAAGCAATTCATTTGAATAAAAATACATAGTTTGTTTCCCTTTATTAAACAAATAGAGAATGGTTACCCCCTAATAGAAACTTAGTGACCCCTTAAAAATAACTGTTATTTTCAGATTTCAGGCTGAAATATTTGGGAAACTGTTACTGGCAAGAGCTGAATGCTCCTCTTTAGATCAGGGGCCTCAAACTCCAGGCCTTAAGGACCGGTTATACTCCCTGCGGCAGTGTGTCGCAGTGAGCTTGTTGCAGATATTTTTGATTTATTCCTAATATTGAAGCGTGGTCTGCGCTATGTTATTCCACGCCACAACGCCAGAGCGACAATCACAAACTAGCTGTGTGTCTAGATACGGCCGAGGCGGTGAGGAAGTGGGGGCAAGTTTGTCCGACAACGGAGGGACATGAGGTTCGGAAAAGAGCGGGATCCAGGTGGAAAAAAGGTCCCAGTGTTCCCGCGCACCTCGCTCCACTAGCTAGTCCAACTTCACGAGTCGTTTTCTACAATGGCAGTCATACAAACAAAATAAGCTGGTAAGGTACCAAACAGGAAATACGGATAGTGAAGAGCGGATGTAGACTTGACCAATCAGAGGCCTCCTGCCTGCGGCATTGTCTGCGTCACCTAAAATTTTGGAAAGGTGCATCAGAGCGTCTGCGGCAGAGGTGGAGACATTTGCAATTACTGCGACACACACACAGACGACATAGTTTGAAAGTATAAATCAGCCTTTAGGGGCCGATATCCTGCAGCTTTTAGATTTAGATTGTTTCAACTAACAACACTCTAGAACTTGAGATCGAGCTCATTGCAGGTCAATGTCAGAGAAGTTGGTTTTCAGTTATATTTATTTCATCACATTATCTAGAATTTTCCAGATTTTTTGGATAATTTTCCTGATTAAAGACCAACTGCTCTCACACTTTTAGTTGTTTTGACAAAAGACCATTCCCATTTGCTTATAAAATTCCTGCTTTTTTTAAAGGTTGATGAAGCCATGCTTTTTCAAAAGGATTCCAGAGCCCACTTCGTCTAGACTAGACATGTGACATTACACAAACATGTCCAGTTAATTTGTTTTACACCAAATCCACCTGGAGTTGTTCTTCTTGTCTCATTCGACCAAGGCACGGTTTCAGTTAAAATTTCAGGAGTTTAGTAAAGTTCAGATGATGGCATTTGAGATGGAAGAACAGAAAAAAGCTTTTCTCTAGAATAACTGTCAAATATCCGATTAACATGTAGATATAACCCCTACAGGTTTTACTTATACATTAAATGACTAAAAGATCTCATGCTTTGAAGTGAGTTGCTGCTTTGAGATTTCAGCCTCACTAAAAGTACTAATTAACTATGGTCAGCTTCAAAATAATTCACAAAATATTGTTATGTTATATTTAATTTAAATGTCAGGGAACAAACCAGTGATTTTGATCAAATCTTTTTTTCATGCTACTGCAATCCTAGGCCTAATCAATCTAAGGGATTTCTACCAGTGATGCCCATCATCGTATGACACTCAATATACTCGCATTTACAAAAACACAACTCACCCATGATCTCTAGGTGTGTGTGCACAAAGCTCTCTGCTTCATCCTGCATGGAGGCATGTGAACGCATCGGCACTGGGAAATACCCGTAGTTGTCTCTGTTGCATACGTACATCTGCACGTCTGAGGAAACGGAGAAATGAAAACAATGTGACATGTGCGGGCCGATTGAAACACGTAGAGGCAATTTTAGGCATTTTTCCCCACCTGCCATACGAGCAGAGTAAGCGAAGATGATAACGTCATCCAGGGCCCAGCTGTACTCGGGGTGCGGTGGGTAAAAAGCCAGCTGACCGGAGGCCTCTTTCCTCAGATCCACCAGGAAGGTGGAGTGGACCATCGGCACAGGAAAACAGCCCAGACGCTCCCGTCTGCGGATGGGCATGTAGGCTGGAGTACGCTTATAGTAACCCTGAAATACAGGCACACGAGATGAATGAAGAAATCCAACAATTTAACTGAAAACATAGAGTAACACATGGCAAAAACTCTCATGTAATAACAGACATGCCTGTTGATCTAAAAATGGGTAGAAGATTAAAACCTGCACCTCCAGCTTGATAGTATGTGAACATATAAAATGCAGCTTAAAAAAAGACTGGCACACATTAAGTAAATGAGTTTGGGAAATCTAAATTATGCAAAAGTGTCTGCATATTCAAGAAGATAAATGTCATAGAGCTTTCTCTAAAGTAACTAAGTTTAATGAGGAGAACCAGCTAGGATGTTTTATTAAAGCTAGGGTGGATGAAGCGAGAAGAAAATCCAGCCAAACGATTTTCTGATATCATTAAGCTTTCTTAGAGCTGAACGGAGCACAAAATTCACTCCACCTGAGAGATATAAGCATTTTATGAGGTTTAATTACAAACAGGATGAGGAGAACCTGCACAGCAATCCGGAAAGAAACAGAATTACAGACAAAACTAAACCTGTAATTCACTTAATTCACTTTTCATCTTCTTCTTTTTTTACCTTAGAACCAAAAATTACATTTATGAATACGTGTTAAATTATTGTCTTTCTTCTTAAAACTAACAAAGACTTTAATATTTTATAGAAGAAGTAGGAAATGCATCATTATAATCTCTTTTAGAAGAAACAAACCAAACATATATTATACATAAAGGCTTTTGAAAGGGACAAAAAATTAATTATATGTAAATAGACATGAATAAATAAGGAAATATAAGAACAATTGATTTTAGAGCCCTGATGTAGAGGTTTTAAATCCATGTTTTCAGCGTGTCCTTCATGTTAAACACTCGACTTATATGAATGAATGATTAACAGGCTTTCGCTGACCTTGATGGCTGCTGAGCTGGTCATGCAATCATTTGAATTAGTTGTGCTGGAAAAGAGAGACATCTAAAACATGCAGGGCATTGGTACTTGAGGATCAGGAGAGAACCACTGCAGGCCAGGGCTCCATCCGGATTGGTCTAATTATAGCATATATCTCCTCCTTCCTTTGCTAGGGTCTGCAATAAGGACTCTGTTGTTGATAGGAAAAGAGGATCTGGACTGCTGAGCAGATTCAACTCTTCCGTTTAGCACGATTACGCTTTTCACAAAAGTAAAAAACCAGCTGAAGTGAGTGCAAAAGAAAAGTGACATTTTATTAAAGTTATCTTAAGTTCGGTTGTTTCCATCAAGCTCTTCTAATACCATACTTCATAGTTACAGGTGACAGAAAATAGGCTCCTTTTCCTACCTCCTTCCTTACTGCCTGCAGTATTCAGACAGCAATTATCATGGAAACACGCTGAAGCATCTCTGCTTTGGCTAAAACGCTCTTACTAATTAGGCTGTTTTGACCGTTGTTTTAAATGACAGCTGGTTTTCAATCCCCTCACCTTTTTAAGGTTAAATAAATTAGGATAAAAACGTAATCTTTCAATCAGAGGTTTACATCATTATTTAAAACAAAACTTCCTTTTTTTTTTTTTTTAAGCCAGACGTGATCCACAAGTCCAGTCATGAAGAGTTGATATTCTGCAACCTTTAGATGCATCCAACACACCTGGATTGAATGGTTGAATTCCCTCATCAGCATTCATTCATTCATTCATTCTGTAGAGGCCTGGGGATAAGATTGAATGCTGATGAGGCAATTTAGTCTTCGGTTAAGTTGTGTTGGACCTTGAAGACTGCAAACGGGCACCTTATCATGTTGGAACAAATATCCAACCAGCTTCCTTTTTTATTCAGAAACGGGGTTTAAATCTACAGTAGAATTTCCCCGTTTCTTACAAAAGACAGGAACTACTGCCATGATTCTGGTCGGGCATTAGTCAGGACTTTCTGAATGAACTGTTAGAGTTGGCAAAAGCTGTAGAACACATAGCCACAGGAAATGGGGGAGCTGGGGGTATTGCAGCACCCTTAGTAGCGAGCGGGAGATTTTTAAAAATATGTATTAACTTTGCACAATTTTAAAATGTTTTAATATTTAGGGGGCTGCTCAGTCGCACAGTTGGTAGCAAGAATGTTCCGGGTTCGGTTCCTGGCCCAGGGTCTTTCAGCATGGAGCTTGCATGTTCTCCCTGAGCATGCGTGGGATCTCTCCAGGTACTCCGGCTTTCTTCCAGAGTCCAAAAACATGGTGTTAGGTTGAATGGCTTCTCTAGGGTGTGAGTGTGTGTGTGAAAAGTTGTTTTTTTCTGTTTATCTCTGTGTTGCCCTGCAATTGACTGGCGACCCGTCCAGGGTGTACCCTGCTTCTCGCCTGTAGACAGCTGGAGATAGGCACCAGCACCCCTCGCAACCCTGCTTGGGATAAGCATGAAGAAGGATGGATGAATATTTTGGGAAATGATTTAGACTTTATTTTACTTTATTACTAATTATTTTGAGGCCTAATCACGCAAGTTCATGGAAGTTACGTTGTCATTGGCAACGTCAAGCAAGCTAGTGGTCGCCAGATAAAGAGGTATCCCACTCACAGCAGCAGACTAGTATATGTACAAAGACTAATGACAGAAAACTGGACACCTGTAACCAGGCAGTGCACCCTGCCTGTACAGTAGCTCAAAGTAAGAGCATGGTGGCGCTGCGCACTATCATATATATTCTTGCATTGTAACATAACCATAGTATTTTAGTGTTATTTTGATCTTGTGTTCTTTGTGTAATAGAAGTGGAAAACAGTTTAAATACTGTTAAAATATAATAATAATTTCCTTGTGGTTTGGGTAAAAGGGATTTTGGGGCAAATAGAATCACGTGTGACAAAAACACACTAACTCAGGTTCATGCTGACCATATCTACGTTGTTATGCTGTTATTTTGAAGTTTAATTAATAGCACATATTTTCCCACTGATGATGTTTGTGTGTTATAGTCCCTGGTTGCGTGCACTGAAGCGTATATGACAATAAAGTAGTGAATCTCAATCTATGAATTTATTTATTTTTATGTATTTTAAATAGGACTATCTGGTCATAGCTTTTTTTTTTATTGTTCCCAGTACCCCTTCAAAATTATTTCCAGTTAATTATGTCGGTAAAGTTGTTCCATTGAAAAGCTTGAAATGGTGCACAGGTAAATGCTGAACTGCTTGAGGGTAAAACAAAGATGAAAATTAAAAAATATTGTACATTTCAGGGTTAAATAAAAATGCCTTTATTAGGAGATAAAAATGTGTTAAAATTGTTCATTCTGCGGCAATGAAGGTTAATGAAGCCTTTAAAGCTGGTGCCACCAACTCGCTCTGTCTTCATAAAACAGTGCTGCAACACACTGTGATACCATACCCTGATGAGCATCAACGATATTCAGCAGAGAGTGCAGTCTTTGACGAGAAAAGGACTGTTAACAGTAAAAAAGAGTCACACCAACGTGACATAAGAGTGTAGGGTTTTTTTTCTATAGTAAATTTGCAGACATTGTGAGTGAAAAGCATTTTCTTCACAATCAGAAGTCACTCAGAAACTGTGGAAACCTCTGATAGGAGGGACCCCACGCCACATCAGGACAACTTCCTGAAAGTTAACATCTTGTGTAATGGGCAGCAGGAAAGCAGCTTTATAGGAGATAAAGTTTTAACTGTGAAGAGAAGACTTTGAGCGACAGGCTTGACAGGGTAAATTGCAGCAAAAAAAAAAAAACAAGCTGGAATAAGAGGCTTGCAATGAAACTCCACCATTGGACAAATAAAGACAGGAAGAAATCGCTACAGAAAGATGAATCAAACTTTGAAATCTTTGGTTAATATAAAGGATCTTTGTACGCTGTTGACTAGGTGAAATATGGATCCAGGATGAGCAACTTACCGGTATATGAAGTATGAAAAACACTGAAGCAATTAATCCTTTTTACTGATCAATCAAATTTTTGGTTTTTAAAAGATTTAATTTTTTCCCCCACAAATCCATTCCCTGGCCTTTCATAACTAATTGAAATCATTTCATCCCAATTGTTCTTTGTCTTACTCATAACTGATAAACTAGCTCACTGTGTGATACCACCAGGCAGCAACGTTTAGCTTGTTATATTTTCATTGGTTGTTGTGAAACATGATTTTTCATTTTTCAAACCTTGAATTTTGTGGCCCTTTAAAGTAGGGTCACCTCTCAGAGGGGATTATTGAAATAATGGGTAGTTTTTGAAAATCCTTTTTATTTTTTAATATGGAACTTAAATAAGAAAAAACATATAATTAACCAGATTTGGTAGGAAAAAAGTTATAAAAAAAAATTAAATATTAGATTTTTCAAGTCATATTGCCCAGCCCTACCCTAAACCAAAATGGCTACCACAGCATAGCAGCATGCAGTACTCTCTGGTATATGTCTAGTTGGTCAGGGGTCCAACTTATAGCAAGAAATTGTCCAAGCTAATTATGGCGTCAGTATTCAGCAAAATGTCAACACACAATAAATACTCCTAGGAGCAGCGTGCACCTAAAGAGAACGCATCAACCGAGCAGCGTTACTTCATAAACTACTCCTCACATGCATGTTTTACATGATACATGTGTGCATAGAGTTCCACTGGGCCGCAATAAATTACAAACCAGTGCTTGTTCCTTCTCTGTATGCGTGTGGTTAGACATCCAGCAGGCTCTCTCCTTCTGATTCTCTGCGCTCATGTCAACTTCTGTCCCTTTGAAGGCGTTACCCACCAACACAAAGCCTGTGATTGGCTGCTTTTAAGGAAATCCCACATCTTGAGTTGTGACACATTGCCAAGGTAACCAGCCTAAACCATCTTACAGTTTCCAGCTAACGTTTGAGCTAGCAGAAATTTGAAATGATATGTAATGATGACTTTGCTTTAAAACTTCCAAATCTTGAAGATAAGCAATTAGCGTGACATTGCTTTGCTAGTAAAGGAAGAGCGCAGCCTCAAGAGGTGGGATTTCCTGAAAAGTAGCCAATCAAAGGCAGATGGCTTTGTCCAGTGGGTAACGCCTTCAAATTGACAAAGGTTGACACAAGTGCACAGAAAAAGGTTGAGAAAGAACAAGCACTACTGTGTGATATATTGCGAACCCATTGTAAATTTTTACACATGTAACAATAGTGTCTGTATGAAATAAAGCTGCTCCTAGGAGTATTTTTGTCAGAATAGTGACGCCATACTAAGCAAGAAGTAGCTTGAAAGGAGGAGCTTGAAAAGCTTGAGAGGCCAGCACAATCTCCAGACTTAGACACCATCAAACTGGTTTGGGATAAACTGAAGTGAAGAGTTAAAACAAAACCAATTTACAAGTGCTGCAGCATTTATGGGAACTTCTGCATCAAATATGGGAGTTTTTTTATTTCTACTAAAAAGAGAATACCACGAGTGCATTCATCTGGTACATCTGCCATCATTGCCACTTCATGTATTAAAAGTTTAGAATGTGTTTCGATCGATGATTAATCCCAGGATTTCTTTAACTACAAATGCTTATTTGTTATATGCGATCATTTTAGAGTGCAATGAAGCATGAACAAGACTGGAAAAATTGGAGTCTTCTAAAACTTCTGAGCAGTAATATAAGAAATACAATTAAAACCACATTTATCTTTGAATCCAAACTTTCTAAAATGATCCTGAAAACAATCTGGAAACACAAGCAGCTACGTTTGAGTCATCATTACGACCAAGGCAAAAACCACAAGTTGGAACATCTGTTACGGGTTTGGTCTCCATCTTGTTCCCCGCCTCCTCTGAAGGTTTTCAAGCACTTCAAAAGGAAACATAAATCTCATCTCGATTCTGGGGAATCTCTGAGGTTCACTCTGATATATAATCTCTACAGTCTGTTTGCTCTTTGTGTGCAATGCTTTGAGAGAAACAGCACTGACTGAATCATGATGGCTTAGAGTCACTCTGCTTCCTTTTTTTTTTTATAGCAGTGTGCTAATGCTCAAATAATCCCAGATCTGCGACTGACACAAAGGCAGGAAACATGGGCAGAATATAAATAAAGCCACTCTACCTGCGAAGTCATCCCGCACCAGAAGTTGGAGTAAGCAGCTCTGGACTCCAGCATAGGAGCAACGATGGTCTTGTTTTCCCTCATCAGCTTCCACAAAACATCCTGGTCGGTGAGCAGGTTGTCGCAGTCGACCATCTAGAGAGTGGAGAGAGCGGCTTAATATTTACAATTCCTCACAAATGTGCATATGCACCTAGAGAGAACGCATCAACCGCTGCCAGCAGATGACTCACAGCAACGTGGTTTGATCAGAGATGGTGGGGGACCCCTCTTGTTTTAGTAGAGTTAAACCGGCCTTACAGGCTCTCATTGTAGGTTGAATTATTCGTTTATGTTGTGGCATATTTCTCCTTAATCTGTCAGAGCACATTAGCAGTCAGCTGCTGTGGGCCAGCTGGGAGTCAAACAGCTGTTCGGGGCATTTCAGCGGCCTTTTGGTCAACTCTGTTACGCTCTGGATTCACTTTTTTAAGGAGGAAAAACACAAACATTCTGAATAGAAAAACGATTCTGAAGCATAAATCAAAGATTGAACTGATGTGATTTTTTTTCTTTAAGAAATATCTAAAAATTCTGATTTGTGTTCACTTAAAATAAAGGGCTGTTCTGATATGATATCGATTTATCGGATATGGGTCTGGTATTTGCTAGTGTTGCACCGATACCAGTATCGGGCAGGGCCCCGATCCAGCACTAAAATGGTACCAAAAAAATAAGGCACCGATAACATTTTGAGAGCCAAAAGTTTATTCAACTATTGTCACCCATTCCAGGTAGCTAATTAAAAGTTCTACTGGATTCACTTTGTATTAGTCTTTTTCCTGCCAAGCCATGACGGAAATTATTTTACATCCAAGTAGTATGCAGGTCTTATGATATCGGAATCGACTAATACTGCACAGCCAGGTATCGGGTATCAGTATCGGGGCCAAAAAATGGAAACTAGTATTAGCCAAAAAACATTATGGGATTATATCGACCTGCATCTAAAATTTCTGATACTGTCATAATGACAGAACCACGTTGATTCTCTTTAAAATTTCTGTAACTCATTGGTAATATTACATAGTTTATTGGTTTTCATACCTATTGTTTTTTACTACTGTTCTCTGTAACACCACCTGATCAAGCCTTTCCATACAGCCTGCCGTACAAAACAAGTAAAAAAAAGCCTGTAGGATTTGTGCTAATATGGTATCAGGTCAATATCTGTATCGGTATGAGAAATTAAATCTGTTGTATTGGGAAATCCCTAATTACTTCCTGTTTTACAAATGCCAAAGAAAGTACCAATGCATATATAAGTAATAAGTCATGTAGCTGAAATTTTCCATTGTGATAAACTTGACTGTCTTATACCAGTAATGATTAACTTGGGCTAAAATAACCATGTTGGAAGTAGTTAGTAGTTTTATTATATTCTTTTCACTTTTCAGTATAAAGTTAAAAAAAAAAGTAAATAATTATGCATGCAATATTTGAATTAAAAAGTAGAAAAGAAAAAAGTTAGATAGGGACAGAAAAAAAGAGATTTGCCCTTAATATAATCCAGCTACAGTTTCCTTAATTTATGTGTCAAAGTTTTCTCTAAATATCTTTTGAGTTTATTCCCAGCAACAAAAATCCAAACAGCCTTTAAATACTTGTTTCTTTAAGTCTGTTTTAAAATAGAGTGACCCTACATAAATGACAGTTAGGGCTGAAACAATTAATTGGATTAATTGTAATTAATCAATTGTTGAAATAATCTTAAACTAATTTAGTAACTGATTAATCGTTAACTGGTTAGAGACTCTAAAACATGCCTTTAGTTGACAGAACAACCGACTGGGAGCAGCAATTATATCAAGATTGTAAAAAATGATATAAACATTTTGCATTAATGATTAAAAAAAACATTTTCGTCTGTCAGTATGATCCATCCAGAACTACTCAAGTAGAAAAGTTTGAGTTTCACCTGGTTTAATCTTATAAAATCTCTTCTTTAAGGAACCTTTTACTTTCCGATTATTAATCTATTAATTGAAAAAATGATCGTCAGATTAATCTATTTGCAAAATAATCGTTAGTTGCAGCCCTAATGACAGCAACCAAAACACACATCACATAAACGATAAACACTGTCTTATATATATTTTCCTCGTGATAAATAATGTCTGTGATTTTTCATTTTGAATTAATCATGAATTTTTTTTTTTTTTTTATTTATATTTTTTTTTTTTTCTTTTGAACACTAAACTACACTAAACTATTTTAATAGCAGCAAACGGCCCACTACTTTTGAAACCCTTGATTATCCATCTGCCAAAACATTAAAACTATTTACTGATGGCACAAGAATCAATTATTCTGTAAAAGCATTCGATTAAAACCATAAAGTCATCTTAAAAAGAAGGTTTTAACATGAGATAAGCAACAAAATAGGAAACACTAATAAGCCCCAGAGTTTAAACTGCAGCTGCATCCATGACTGTTTCCCCATAATCTGTCAACATCTTTGAATTTCAATTGAACTGTAAGCTTCAACAGCTCGGCCAATAAAACGTTCATAAGGTTAGCATCAGGCGCCTTTTGAGGCTATCCCTCCAATATTTACTGGCATGTGAAATGCGAATGCATGGTAGTGTGAAGATGATTTCCAACCACTGATTGCTTCCAAGCAGTTTCCTGTCATTGTGATTTCTTTAAACATTAAACTTCCAATAATGATTTGGATTAGATTTTTTGTGCCATTCTGGATAACAGCATTTTCTTTCTGCTGATACAAAACGTTCCTTAAAAACAGACTTTTTACTTATTTATACTAAAAATAAATTACTCCCTCCCTTTAAACATGTTGTTCAAAATACCGACTACTACCAACGGTCAGATAAATAAATATATCAGTTTTCTCATTGCTCTGCAGTTAACAGGTCTGGACGAAGAATTAAAGAAATCTGTTTGAAATGTAACTGTCCGGACTCGTCGACAGCATACCAGTAGGTAGTCGGCCCAGATCTCGCGGGCAGTGTCCAGCGCTGCCTGGCGGAGTTTCATCACATGTTCATATCGGAGATTATTCCAGTGTTTTGGCCCCACTTCGTCCTCGAAGTCACTGGGATATAAAAAGACAGTTACAGATGGGAGTTACGCTGTCATTGCACGTCGGCAAAACCCAGAATTAAATCCTAACTTTTTACCTGGGTTCATCTTCAGGTCGCCACTCCACATAATGATAGTAATTCTGCACCTGGATGAGCCAGTCTCTAAGGATAGCTGTGGTGTTGTCTATGTTGTGATCTGTCGCCACCCTGTGGGAATACATCAAGAGAAGCTGAAATAAGCAAAACCAGCAATGATGAAAGATGGGCTCAGGATGTAATCAATATATCAGACGCTCCAACAATGTAGTTATATAAACCAAAGTAATATTTCTTAAATCCATTGTTTGGAAAATGAGGCTGGTTATCATAGAAAGCCCTCAGGGGGGAATGAAGGCACTAAACTTCACGATGATGATGCTGCAAAGGACACCAGAGAGATAAAAAAGACAGATTGTGTTTGGGAATAACTGTCACCTCTAGGGAATAAGAAATAAGCCAAATGGCATCTGGGATAATTGCAGTCACTCACAGGAGTTTACAGAGTTCAGCTCAAACAGCTGGTTAGTCGTGGTTCAGACCAGAGGAGAGTTGTTGGAACATTTTCCATCTCTTTTATTCACAAGTCTTCCTTGGAAAAGAAATAAAAGTGGAAAAAAAAACCTAAGAAGTGACAAAGTGTTGCAGCAGAGTAGTGAATTTTCACAGTTTCCATTCACCCTTTACATCTTCTGCATGTGAAGCAACAGCAGCTATGTAAACACAGATGCTGTTCTGTGGAATACTTTCTTCAGCTCCCCTGGTGTTATTTGGGAATTGAAAAAAAAAACAAAAAAACTGACCTTTATAGAAAACCGTTTTACACACAGACACACAGTGTGAATCTATTTCTACAAGAACTTTTCTCGGATTTTCATCTATTTTCAATTCAGTTTTACAGCCATAAACCTAAACCTGACCTTTAACATAAAAAAATAAATAAAATGCAAAAAAAAGAGAAGACCAGGTTAATGTTCTCACTTTTTTAAAAGGAAATGTTATTGTTACTTAAAGTTGGAACAAAAAAACATCTGACTTCTTCAAAAATCGAGGTCTTTCCCCTCACTTTAAGCCCATAAACTGGAGCAACATTACACCAAATCCATTCAAACTAATAGACTAAAGCTTTTTTTCGTACTCGTACTGAACAGCTGAATGCAGTCTGTCACTTCAGTATGAATTTCTTAGAATGAAGGCATTAAAACATGTAAAAGAGAGCGGCTGTTTTGGGAATCAGACCGTAATATGATGCCGTTTAAGTGAATCAGAGAACAAGGGAAAATAAAATGGCTGTAATTAAAGTGGTGCAGGCAGAGTTCCAAGTACTGGAAAATAACATCAGCCATTTGCTTTTTGGCAAAGGATGTCCTTACCTATATAGTGATCTTAATAAAACATGATGAGTTTCTAAAAAAATTGGTAATTTGAAAATCCTTTATTTCAATCAAAACTAATGTATTAATCCCAAAGGGAAATAAAAAAAAAACTTGTTGAATAGATTTGTTTTTCTTATAATAACTAGGGGTTTTAGGTTTCTGGCCGATCACCGATGCCAATTCCGACTCTGACCAATACAGATTTTTTTAATATATAAATGACACTTTCAGCTATTAAAGATCAAAAGACATTTTAGATATCTCTTACTGAAAGACATTAATCGGTACATGTGAAACAATAAACCTTCCAAAATAGCTGCTCTCATATATAAATCAAAGTTTTAAGCATTGACAGGGTGATTTTTGGACCTTTGCAGAGGTAGATTAGGTCAGCGGAAAAGTTTGGTTTTAAATCTGCGCATCGGCTAATCACAGATCTCCAAAAGTTAAGGAAGTTGAACAGCCAATCGATCAGTGCACCCCTAGAATGTCCCCATATTTTTCTTTTTTTGGGGCAGAAGAGAAAGGAATGACACTGGTTTATAGAAAACATAACTTGAATAACTTATATACAGTTAATGCAGCAGCATTTTGTTTAAATGATGTGACAGGCTGCTAAGAGCATGCTAAGGCATGCATCTTTAGTCATGGTTATTATATGGTGACTTCTGTTTAATTTATACCAAATCAAAAGTAATCAGTTTCTAATTAGAAATTCCTAAACAACTAAAAGGACTAAAATGTTATGTTTAAAAGAATTAAGCAGAGAGCATGCAGATATTTATGTTAAAAAAAGATGGCAGCAACTAATGATGCTTGAGCTACTTTAAAGGTAAAGTCCGGTCAGCAAGGAATAATCACTGGGTCATTATTAGGGATGGGAATCGAAAACCGGTTCCTGTTAAGAACCGGTTCCGTATTTT